GAGAACAAAACTTGCGAACAACATCGCAAGAAGGTTTGAACAGATCCCGGTGATGACCGCTGATGTGGAAACCGATTGGGAGCTATTTGAGAACGGCCTACTCAGGGCTGCCGCTAAATGTTATGGTTTAAAGCGGGTCAGAAATAAACCTCCTGGTGGACATGAGAGGTACAACAGGTTGCCACCGAGACGAAGGCTGGATTCAAGACACGGCTTAGAAGTAAAGAGCCTTCAACTCGCATGTGAAATTATATGTAGAAGCACGCAAGGCGGCAGCGAAAGCAGTGACCAAAACAAAAGCTGATTAATGGAATAAGTTCATTGTGGCGCTCTGGTCGAATTTCTATAAGGTAGATATGGCATTCTGGTAGATCATGTGCTGTCTCTGTGATAGAAAGAAGTTCAGTCTGTGTCCTATATGACAAGTTCAGATGCCCTTTTACCAATGATAATGACATACTCCGGTGATGAAGAGAGTAATTTGAGTTATTCCTTAGCCTCGAGCAACCGTGGGAAGGTTAACCTGAAGAGCAGCAGCGAATCGTATAAATATTTTAGCAGATGAAGTCAGAAAGCTTGAAACCTGGAAAGTCTAATACAAGCAAGGAATCCACCCTGAAATGCTTAAAACTTTAGGCGAACAAAGCTTGTTGTGGCTAGCAGGTGTTTGTCAAACTGCAGTGGCTAAGGGGAAGACACCAGTGGACTAGAGAACGGGGTTATACCCCTGTTCAAAAAGGAAGACGATAGGGAATGCTCAAAATGAACGGGGCATTACCTTATCGAGCCTCACGGAAAAAGTATACGTACAAGTGTTAGAACTAAGATGACGCGGAATAGCTGACTCTAAGATACCATAAGAGCAATTTGGCTTTAGGTCAGGCTGAAGCACCTCTGACCAGATCTTCGCCTTGCGCCAGATTGTTGAGAAATCATGAGTTCGATCATCCAATTTGCACGTGGTTTGTCGACTTGGAGAGTGCATATGATCGAGTCTCACTCAGCAATCAGTGGACATATATGGAATCATGGGATCGATGTTCAGTTGCTACAAGCCATCAGATCACTCTTTGTTGATAGCAGGTGCTGCGTCTGAGTTAGTGGCGTTAAGTCGATAACTTTCAGGTTTAGGATATTCAGGCATGACCAGGGGAAAGAGTGTATCAGGGTAGGAGATGTTGAGTCGAGAAGTTTGCTGTTTGCAGAGATCTTGTTTTGTTGTCATCTTCCGAAACTGATCGCCAGCGCTCCTTGGATTGTTACTCAACCGATTGCGATGCGGCTGACGTGCCTGTGAACATGTCTAAAACGAAAAGCTTGGTGCTTTCTCTTTTTCCTACCCCTTTGCAGATAAACGGAGAAGCAGTGGAAGAGGTGAAGTTCACGTACCTCAGAGTCTTGTTTACTGGTGATAGGAACTGGGAGCTAGAGATGGGCCAGTGATTCGGAATGGCCAGCAGCGTTCTGTGTTGTGACTGAAGCAGCACTGAGCCTCAAAACTAAGCTATCAGAGTTCATGTCGATCTTAATCCCGGTGCTCGCCAACAGTTATGAGTGGTGGACTATGACCGAAAACTTCCATCAGGTACAAGTAGATGAAGTGGAATTTGTGAGGCGAATCGCTGGGCTCACGCGTCTTGAGATGAGCGAAGTTCAGATATCCGAAAGAGCTTTTGAATACAGCCGCTGCTTCTCCAGATTGAAAAATCGCAGTTTCTGTGGTTTGGGCACGTCTTGCGAATGTTTTCAGAAAAGATGCGGAAACAGATACTACTTGCCCAACCGACCGGCTGGACACCCCGGTAATGGCCAAGAATGATCTGACACATTTGTCTCGAAGTAGTCTGCTTTAGACTCCCGCTGTCTTCTGCCGAAGTTTAATTGTTGTCACAGTGTCGGCAACGTTAAAGACACTGTCTGAAGCGTCTGCGTCAGCGACTCGAATGGATAATTGGTCCTCGAAACTGACTGATGCACAAAGAGCGGGGTTTGGACAGATTGAAATAGTGGGATCCACAATTGTTCTAATTCCATCCAAGTAGTAATTTCATTTCAGCCTTAACTTCAGCTAATTACTGACTCCCTTAAAGGCACCGGTTGTTGGTAGGCCCAGTCATTGCCCATATCTCCGCCCAAAGTCTGATTCAACCTAAGCTGTATTTCATTCATATGTTCTCTAAATAGACCTAATTTTCACCCTAGCTTCTTTTTTATTTTGCATGTAATGTGTGAATTTCTGATCACAAACGTAACGTCACTGCTGTCTGATGGTATGTTTTCAGGAAGATGGCCGCATCTGGTTCATGGGGCGTTTCACACACTCGAATGCCGACCGAATCGCGGCCGGGCCACGTGGCAATGATCTCTGGCTTCTACGAAGATGTCAGCGCGGTGACGAAAGGTTGGAAAGAAAACCCGGTGCAGTTCGATTCGGTGTTCAACGAATCGCGTTTCACGTGGGCTTGGGGAAGTCCAGACATACTGCCGATGTTCGCCAAGGGTAATATTAACTACGTAGTTGCCTTGCACAAGTAGTCAATCATGCTTTCTTCATAGGTGCGTCGCGTTCACACGTGTTTACGTTTTCGTACTCGCACAGGCAGCAGGATTTTGCAACGAACGGTTCAGTATTAGACAGCTGGGTTTTCGACCGAGTTCAGGTAACGACTGATGTGAGATATGACTTCTTGACTTCGCATAGAAGTTTAAATTGACTATTGTACAAGCTGCGTAGAATAGAATCGAATAATTGGGCTTTTCAGGGAGTAGGGTATGGGAGCATTTCAATTATGCATAGGCTAATGCCGTTTTTGTTCGAATCGGTTTACTGAATGTAAGTTTTTTCAATATTAAGATGAAAGTGTCAAAAAGCTCTTTACCGATAAGGCAGATCTGTCGAGAAGAAAGAGAATATTTATTTCCAGAGTTATGATTCATATTTACTCTTAAAGGGAACCTGGTCTGATGTAAATATACATGAGGTGGCACAGACGAAGATTTCGTTTCAGAAAGAAAACGCATTTCAACGTATTCGGCTCAATATCTTGCAATCTTGGAGTGCACAGGTAATATTACCCTGTGAGTAGTACGGGAACCGGGATTTATTGCCTGGCGGCTTCCTTATGCTTCACGGCTGCGAAGGCCGGCAATCTGTTTTATCGTAGGGAATTGAAATGTTATGGTTAACCCATCCTGTACAACAGATCTCCAAAGTGAAATGGAAAACGATATTGACCAGTTGACATGCCTCGATTGCATTATATTCAGCGATGCACTATCCCACAGGAGTTAAACATGAAAATGCCAATGATTCCAGTGCTTTTGAAAGCCTACCCTTTTGACTTAGAAAGGAATCTATCTCAATCAAAATCTCTGCATCTTGCCTCGGTTCAGTCAGATATGCTGTATGGCATGAAAACTGTCGTTAAACGAAAGAAAATGAACGCCTGTTGGAACGCTTACAGCAGCGGCAGCTTCGACACATGGTGAGGACTAAACAGCAGAGCCACGCAAGAAATGACTTTTTTGGGGACATCTGTCCTCATTAGATATGAAGATTAAAAATGGAGTTTGGCGTCCTGGATGAACTTCAGCTTTATACTTCAGCCCGCGAGCTTTTCATGTGGGAACCGAAAAACACGAGACGCTGATCAGTAGACCAGAACGCAACATGGATTCACAAAATAGATGCTAATCTGCCTTCGAATAAGAATGATTCTTTGTACGACACAGTTACAGGCGCCTTATAGCGAAAGTGTTGAAATCTGCAGAAACACCGGACTTCGTAAACTAGAGACGTTAGGCTTATGTAACCGGTTCAGGAGGATGAGCTCAAAAAACACTTATAAAACAATTATACTTATACCCACCATATGTTGAAGGGGTGATGTTTGCAGATTAGATTAATGTTAAATGTGCTACCTAAAACGTACTGCACTGATTCAGTGACTTTTAGGAATTTCTCACTAATTCTTCAGCTGATGAAGTGTTAACAGAACAGTTGCACCAGAACCAGGTCGTATTTTTTCTCCATTTGCTGGGCATCGATACAGTTGGGCATGGCTTCAAGCCGCATTCCGCCGAGTACCTGAACAACATTGCGTTTCTAGACGATCGAATAGCCAAGTTGTACAAAATGGTTGAGTCATACTTCAGTGACGGTCGAACGGCATACTTGTTCACGTCTGACCATGGTATGACCGACTGGGGCTCTCACGGCGCCGGTGACGACCACGAAACAATGACACCAATCGTTGCTTGGGGAGCTGGCATCAGCCAGATGCGTTCTGAAAACGGCCAACTGTGGAATGTGACAAAATCGGACCGAGCGGACATAAATCAGGCGAGTTACGGTAGAGCGAGGAGACAATTAATTTTTTGGAGTTCGACTGTCAAAAAGCGAAGCCATTTTGTCAATCTTTTGCGTAGTTATTGTTGCTCATTACACCGTGTTTAGGTGGACATCGCCCCGCTTATGGCTGCTTTGATCGGCGTCAACTTTCCACTGAATTCTGTCGGCTCATTGCCTGTCCGGTACGTGAACGCGTCAGTGAAACAGAAAGCGATGATGTCGTGCTCCAACTTTTATCAAGTACTGGAACAATTCAAGATGAAGAAGAGTATGAAACGCGCAACATCGTTCAAGATGTTCTTCTCTGAGTTCAATAAGCTTACCTCACGAAAACTCGACCTGCTACTTTCGCAGATTCGCAGCCTGTTTCAACAGAAGCGGTTCAGCATCGCCGGCAAGATATGCTTGGACTGGATACCGATTGCCATCGAAGGAGTTATGTTTTACCACCAGTACGAAAGACCGTTTTTTAGCTCATGCATTTGCTGTTGCTTTCTGCTTTGGCAGTGCTGTGTGTTCATATTTCTCAGTAACCGCACGCAGTCGCGAGAGACGGCTACATTGCCATCCGGCTGTCCCGCGTGGTATTACGCTTTGGGGACGGTTTTCATTGTACTTATGTGGCTGCAGTCTTTCCCTCTCATGCACTACGTCTATTCGCTGCTGCCGTACTGGCTTTTGGGAATAGTGTTAACCGACGTCGGGAACTGGAGGCGCTTTCTGGTGTACGTTAATCACTTTCGGACGGTGAATCGTCTGTCACTACTTGCCGCCGGCCTTTGTTTAATGTACCTGGAAGTGATGGTCATCTCATTCTTTAGTCGGTGGGTTTTGACAGTCGGTCTGCTGATGATGGTGTTATGGCTTATGCCGAACGCCCAGGTCACGGCTCGCCTCAAGGTGGCTTGGGTAGGGCTCTGTGCCGTCAACTCTCTGTTTACCTTTCTGCCGGCCATTGGCACGACGCGCTCCTACGACCTGGTCGTTTCGTGCTGTGCCACGATCGGCTG